ATCCCCCTCCTTCCCACTCCGCCGGGCTTCGGCCTCGACGGTGCCCGCTAGCGTCCGCAGCCTGCACGGTCCCCGGCAGCCCCAGCCCCGGCACCGCGTCCCGGCCGCCCTCGCTACCCCCTGCCCGAAGCAGCCGTCCTCCCCCGCAGCCACCGCGGCCTTCCAAAACGAAATAAAAATGCTAATAGCTTCAGATTCCCTCGGGAATAATTCCCTTCCGATTCTCCTTCGTGAATATCTGATTGTTTCGTAGAATAACGTGGCAGACTTCAAGGCAGTCTCCAAAGCAGAATGACAAGGCACTACGAGGCAAAATTTGGCTGTAACTATTTTCTGATAATGCTCATTGCCCTTCTCTGGTCACTAATAAATCATCTGACTCTGCAAAGAGAGCACGCTGCCTGACCTGCCTTCTCCAAAGGATACGCGGTCCCGGCGAGGGGGGCAGGTTTTAGCGACAGCGATGATACCACCGCGGTTAGCGCTGGCTAGCGGCTGCCACCCCTAGCGCTGAACCGAAAAACTACGGGGGAACGCGGGGCTGGCGCTCTGCTAGCCCCCCTTCCTTCCCTGCCCGCCCAGCCCCTGCCAGGAGGGCCGGGCGCGGCGGGGGGCTGCGGGTGGCCTCTGCAGAGCCGCCTCCCGGCGCCGCAGCCTCCTCTTTACAACAAAACAGGTTTTCCGACCTGCCTGAGACCCGCCAGATCCTGACCGGTCCGAAACCGGAGCGAGGTGTGTGTGGGGTGAGTGCTTTTGTCCAGGGGAGGGGAGCGGGGAGGCAGGCGGGCCGGGCCGGGGGCTCAGCCCCGGGCCTGCCCGGGCTCGTTTACCGCTCGAAGGAAAACCCAGCCTGTCACCGGCTGAGCTGAGTGTAAGGTGCGGGTCTTACCCGGGGACAGAGGTTACCTCAGCGCCCTGCCTCACAGTGATTCAAGCTCCGTAAGGCAGGTGACAACGTCTAATTATCCCTCCCTACGCCTTCTGTAGCTATTTGCATAAAGGCTGCAAAAATGTAAACTCTTGCGATACGACGTGCAGTGGGAATTGTTCGTCTCGAGTTCCTGACATCTGCACCCCAAATCAGAACGTGTTCCCAAGGAAGTATTACGAGCTGCCACCGGCAGATGAACCCGTCCCTGGGAGGGTGGCAGGGAGCAGCTCCGGGCCCGCGGCGGGGCAGCTGCCGGGCCCCCGCTGCGCTCTGTAGCCTTCGCCGTTCTGCCTGAGCTGCGTTTGAAAAGGGAACACCAACTCTTGACTTCATCCTCTTTAATCGCCGCAGCACAGGACACGTAGAGCGTGATTCACTCTGTTGGTGTAAGATTACTCTTTAATTGCAGCGAAAATCCAGCCTTTCAAAAGCATTAAAGGGTTGACGTTTCTTTTCCCGATACAAGCCAATATTCAGATTACATGGACACTAATCAAATAACGCGGGTTATTTCATTTGTCAACATGTTCATAAGGATTTTCTACCAGGCGTTAAAGGCATTTATATGGAACGACATCTTTCAAAAGCAATGTCGCTACTCCAGATTTAGGGAATATTTGATTATGACAAGAGGTTTGATGGTTTTATTTTACGTACCAGCTGTGCCACAAATCGTTTCATACCTCAAATAAATTCCTAGTTTTGTATAGGATAAATTCCTAATTTTGTATAGGATTCGCAGGACAGGTCGCGCGAGTACTTTCTACGAAGCAGTAATTTTCATTTTAAGCCAATTCTTGTCAATACCTGCAGCTCCCAGAATAGCCTTATATTCAAAAGTGGTGTCAGATGCTCTAAAGGACAACCGGCAAGAGGGCTTTGGAGGTGGTTTTGTTTTGGTTGGTTGGTTTTTTCCCCAACTTTAGAAGGAACTCCTCTTTTTAAACTGCCGTTACAAGGGGGAACCCGTCCACCTTCTGAGCCCCCCTCGCTGCGGTTCGCAGC